CAGAGCTCTCTCTTCACCTTAACTTCATCTTTATTAATTCCCCATAAAATATGACAATATTTTTAGTTTCTGTCCATGCATCCATCTGTTAATGTATCCTTCATTATTACTACTGCACACAAGTCTTTTGTATATATGATGTATGTATTCCTTTTAATATTTTTTATTCAAGTGTTTGAGAGTTTGCATTTATATTATTTAAGAGTTTTCGCTTTTTTTGTTTGAGTACGAGTAAATTTCATTGTGATGCCGTGGCAGTGGTTTAAGGACAGTCTCTTATCTCTTATGTTAGGTTCCATCATTCTGATATATGGATCCTTGTAGGTGTACTTGGCCTATTTTAAAATGAAACCCATTGGTTTTTATACATGCTTATTCCACTATGTTTGGTGTAGTACTAAAGGCTGCTAGTGACAGAGAGAAGAAGATTGCTCCTTTTTGGCAGCTATGACCCTGATCTGTCTGCTCTATTAAAATCAGTTCTCCATTAGAAAGACTTAAGAGGAAGGCGCTCTGTGGTGGTGTTGGTAGCATGCCCCGATGATGCTGATGGTCATGAGAGGAGAAAAAGAGATGGGCTGCCAAGAAGACAAAGACTGTAACCAAATGTCAGGGTGAGTGTTTCTGGAGTGTGAGATTCTGGGTGAATGAACAGGTCGTGACCCTTTGAGCTATAGAACAATCACAAACACTAACTCGCTCAGGCACTCACATGTCCAGATACACACAGGCCATCAGTTTCTCCAAGGTTCTCTGTCAGTCTTCCTGTTCCTTCCTTCTTCTACCTTCCTATTTATTTCACTCTGAGTCACATGTTAACAGTGACTCTACGATACTGTTAAAGGTGTCACTCTTTTTACACTTGTTAATGAAAGGAGGGGACAGGAGTGAAACTACTTCTAATGATGTGTATCCAGGTCAGAGCATACAGACTCAGGTGAAATCTATGATCTATGTGTTCATACATAAGTGTAAAAATGATGCAGATATTTATTTATTTGTTGTTTTTGGATTTCACCCAACAGATAGGTGATAGACAGATTGATACTTTATTGATCCTACAAGGAAAACTGTTGTGTTGTAGCATCATAATAAAGAGCAAATAAATAGTACAGTCTACAATAAACAACAAGTAAGTAACACAGTTAAATAAATGTGCAATCTGGCAACCCATCAGCTAATATAGTGATGTAGCCTCAGGGGGCCAAAGGCAATTTTAAAGGCTTCTGGTGCAGCA